TCCACACACCATGGAGTCACCAGGGCAGGCACAGCCTGAGCACTGCTGTCCCACACACCATGGAGTCACCAGGGACAAGGCAAGTGCTGTCTTACCAACCTGAACTCAAGCAGGGGAGGTGGCCCTAGAATGCTCCCTCGGCAGGTCCAGGCTGCGGGATCCCCTGCAACTGTGCATACTGCTCCACCCTCAGGCATCTCAGAGGTTTGGGGGAACTTGCCAGCAAGGGGAGCGGGCGGCCTGAAGGACAGTCACAGTAGTTCCCAGGAGCAGCTGCACAGGAGAATCCGCCGCTGGTTTCTGGCCTGTGGGAAGGGCACAGCGCAAGGCTGCAGCATCGCAGGTTGGGGAGGGCCGCCTGGGTCTGAGGCCAGGCTTGGTCACCTATTTCTGCAGCTGTGAGCAGGGCGCATTACTGGAGACTAATCGTGATTGTCCCAGAAATTAAATGGAAAAAGGCTCCTTCAAGGCCTGGCCCCAGCTGGACGGTCAGTGTTCAGGATTCAGAAGTGGCAGGGGCCAACCTGGAGCACACAGGAAGACCTATCTGCTGTGTGTAATGAGAGCATGGCTTTCAAAAACGAAACTCCGTCCCCGTACTGAAAGTCTCACCCAGCAAGGGCAGGTAGAGCCCTCGCCCCACTGCAGAAACAGGCTGGCGTCACAGGACACACACCTGGTGGAGACCCCTCGGCAGTTGAAAAAGATGTCGAGGTCACTTCAGCAAATCCAAGGTGTTTGAGGCCACGGAGTGCTCCCTGAAAAACTATCCAAATTTGTCCCTGCAGAGCTAGGGGCACAGCAGCCAAGCACCACAGTTCAGAGCCCTGCCTTCCCCAGGGCGGGAGTGTGGAGGAGACTGCAGATTGGAAAGGGGACAGACCGCCCCGCCCTCACTGGCTACATCCTCGTCCATGGCGTGGACCTGTAAAATGGGACTTTGCAACAGCTCAGCAAGGTAAGGGGAAAATATGCTCATTGAAGAAAGTTTGGAAACAACCGAGAAACGCAGAGAAGAGTTGTGTGCAACAAGCCCCAGCCTGGGTGTCTGCATCCCCTCCTGGTGCACAGTTCCCCAAGTTGTTTCCTAGATAGCTGTTGCTACCATGGACACCACGGTTAGCGGGTTCCTCTAAGCACTCTGTGTGCTTTAGCTCACATGCAGTAAGTTCGGACTCCTGTGCTAGAGAAGGTGAGACCACAGAAACAGAAAAGCCTTGCTTGAAGTGAGGAGCTAGGATGTACCTGGGTTCCTTCAGCAGCTCTGCCCAGAGGCCCCAGAGGCTCAAGATGGACAACCACCTGTCAAACCTGTGGCTTGTACTGTGGCATGAAATCCTCCGCCCCCCGCCCTTTGCCACCCGGAGATCATTGACAATCACCATGTAGAGCTCAGGGGAGGGGGAGGAACGCTCACCTCTGTCTGTGGGTCCAGGTCCAGCCCACTTTCTGTGGCTGCAGGGCCCCCAGCCTGAGCCCCATCCAGGTGAGAGGGGCTTCCTAAAACTGGGCTGTCACCTCAAAACACCTCTGTCTGACCCAATGAAGCAGATACATGCACTGTCCTCCAGGGCTGTTAAGCTCCTGAAAGGCCATTCCTCCCTGACCCCAGAGGCCCAGGGGAATGTTTCCCCGAAAAGAGGTGATGCCCTGGGACAAGCCATACCTGCCATCTGAAGGACAGAAAAATTGCTATGAAAGAACAGCTTTTCCAGACCTCAAAAAATGCATGTGAGGAGCTGGGTTGTGGCTCAGCGGTAGAGCACTCGCCTCTCTCCTGTGAGACCCTGGGTTCGATCCTCAGCACCACATAAAAATAAATAAACAAAATAAAGATATTGTGCCCACGATTAACTAAAAAATTTTTTTAAAAAAATTCATGTGAGGTCCCATCTCAGCCAAAGCATCTCAATGGTCCCCAGCAGAATGACAGGATCGTGGACACTGTCACTTCAGCATACACTGTCACAGCAGGAGTTTTCATGATCAGGCACTCTGTGTCGTGTGGCGTGACCAGAGCAGATCTCTGGACATGCTGTTTCAGCACTGGCTGTTATTTTTTAGAGCTATAATAAATAGCCGCAGACAGGACATAGCATCCATCTGTACTCCTCAGAGACCCTCCCAGAGTGGAGTTACTGGTCAAGGGAAAGGGCAATTTCAAGGATTTTGATAGAAACCCTCAAATATCTATCTACAGAAATGTCCAGCCGTTCTCTCTCCAGCCTGCACTAGGACAAATGACACAACACTTAATAAGTCAGTTCAAGAGTTGCACTTGGACCAGGGGCTGAATTGAGCCTGTTTCAAAAATACGCTGCCGGGGCTGGGGTTGTGGCTCAGCAGTAGAGCGCTCGCCTGGCATGTGCAAGGCCCTGGGTTCCATCCTCAGCACCACTAAAAAATAAATAAATAAAATAAAGGTATTGTGTCCAACTACAACTAAAAAATAAATCTTAAAAAAAAAAAAAACACGCTGCCACTGCTCCCACCGCTAGATGGCACTCTTTACAAAGATTTAAGTTTTCAGTGTCTGGTAAGGAGTCAGGATTAATTCAGCTAGCAGGGGCAAAGTGTGAGTTGTCCACATACCAAAGCAAAACTCACAGGAAGGAGCCCAGGTGAAAACCCCTATGAAAAGTAACGGTGTGGGCATGGGCAGTCCTTGTGGGGCCTTGAGGACACTCACACATGGTAGCCCTCTTCCCAAACAAGGTCTGCCACAGCTTTCCACAGCCCCACTCCCAGGCAACAACTGTTCCATCAACCGCCCCAGGGCCCTTCCACGCACCTGGGGCTCCCTTCACCTCCCTTGGTAATTCTCACGCTGGACTCATTTCTAGGACTCTCCCCAGAAAGCCCATTTGGGCATGCGTGGCTCCTTGTGACCGCTCTCTGGGTCTCTTGTAGTGTCCTTGGCTTATTCGGGGTGTGATTTTACACTCCCCGTACCACTGCGGGCCACCTCTCTGTGGCCCAGAGCTCTGGAAGCACCTGCAGTTATGCGCCTGTACTAAGACTCTACCCTGAAGGTGACTGCAGCATGGATCTGGTGTGACAGTGCTCGGGACCTCTCCTGTGGCTTTGCCAAACAACCGCCAACTTGTGAAATCAAAATGCACACTGAGATGGTGATGTCTTACAATCCGTGAATCATAGAAACAGAAACCTGACCATCTAAAGATAAAGAAACCACAGGTAAAGGGTGGAGGCAAATTGCTTAAAAGAATCCAATGGTTTGGGGGCCAAAGGATGGGGTTCTAGCCCACTCGCTGGCCAGAGAGATTACATAGCTGCAAAGCTTCAGTCTCCTCATTGATAAAATACCACCAAGAATTGGCACCTGCCTTATTAAATTAGAAGTTGTATACTGAAGTCTTAGCAAGGGCTCAGTAAGTTGGTCACATGGTTTTCTGCCTTCTGAAAGGACAGTGTGAGAAGCCAGAGTAGGGAGTGTTTTGTTTTTTTTTTTTAATCTTTCCCTAGGCACCAACTCAGGCAACATACAGTGTCGCAAGTTCATGTGTGTGTGACCTTTTGGCTGCTCTGCTCTGGCTTCTTGTGCTGCAGAAAATTCAGGCAGTTTTATCACTCTGGAAGGATGACCAGCTCGCTTGGGGGGGTCCAGAAAGATATGTGTTGGCCTCCCCACGAATAACCCCTTGCTGGGGCTCTAAGGACAGCCAGCTTCCCAGCAGCAGTTAGCAGACCAAAGATGGCAGAGGTCTGACCTCCTTCCACCATGGCCACTCCTCAGGGTTCTGGGGAGCACACTGTGGCTCAGCAGACTGTCCTGCTATGACACCAGGCTTGTACGCTGGTGTTCACCCTGGTGGCTGCACTGTCCTCTGGAACAAAGGCCTCCCCCCATGCCCACTTCTCCTGCTGGCCTTTCCCAGGACGCCTTATGACAAATAAAGGGGAATGACGGAGTGTGCCAAGAGCTTCTCTGCCTGGGCCTGACCCTTGACTGCGTTTTCCCTGTGCACTCAGCAGGTGCTTAGGACCCTGGATCCCAGCAGCCCCTCCTCTGACTTCTGACCACGTCACCTTGCAGCCTTCCTACCTCAGATGCCTCTGGCCTATCCCAGGAATGACAGCAGCCTGCCTGGGAAGCCCATTTAGGTTTGGGGGTGGGGGTCCTCACTCTTGCTCTTTCAGAGAAGACCTCATAATACCGATCGAGCATAAGCAGACCCTGGTTTCCCAAAGCCTGTGCCCCTGTTTCTGAGAGCGTGTGCCCCACATCACAGGTTTCTGACAAGATTCGACTTGGGATAAAATGGGATTCTCTCAGTGCAGAAATGGGCTCCTAAATGGCCGGTTTTTCCCCTGCTCTCCGGCAAGCACACCCACAGCCTTGTGACTCAGTTCCCCAGGACTGAGCTGAGCCACGTGCTGCCCCAGCTCCCAGAAGCCTGGGACCACAGACTTGGCGGGGCTGGGGAGTGTTCCATCACCTCGGGCCATGCAGAACTGGGCCCGGGTTCCCGTCAGGGGGTGGGCGAGCACACCACACCCCAACCCCACCCTTCCCGCACTTGGCCCCAGGCCACCTGCTCGCGCCTGGGCTAGGTGGGGAGGGCTGCAAGGGGGAGGGGAACGCCAAACAAAGGGCCCCTAGGCGGCCCGCACGCCCGGGGAGTTGGGATGGGGCGGCGCGCAAGCCCCGAACTTGGTCGCCCGGACTCCGCCAGCTCGGTCCGGTCTGCGACGCTCCACGTGCTCCAAGCTGCTTGCTGGGGCGGTTCTCGGCAGGGCGGGACCAGTGGGCGGTGGGCGTGCCCTGGATAAGGGGCGGGGCCTACTGGGGCGGACCAACCGCGGAGGGCGGTGGGCGGGGCTTGGAGGGAGGGTAGCGGCGGCGGTGGGCGGGGCCTTCCGGCGCAGGGATAAAAAGCTGCGGCCGGTAGTGCGGGCGCAGACGCAGCAGCTCGGGGGCGCGCGGGCTTCTCGTTCGTCCGCGGCGCGCACCTCGTGTCCAGGCCCAGCCGGCCGGCGCGGCGAGCATGGCGGGCGCGGGCGCGAAGCGGCGCGCGGTGGCGGGCCCGGCGGTCGAGGAGGAGGAGCGGCAGGCGCGGGAGAGGATGCTGGCGGCGCGGCGCGCGGACGGCGGCGACCCGGCGGAGGAGGGCGTGACCCTACAGCGCAACATCACGCTGCTCAACGGCGTGGCCATAATCGTGGGCACAATCATCGGTTCGGGCATCTTCGTGACGCCCACGGGCGTGCTCAAGGAGGCGGGCTCGCCGGGGCTGGCGCTGGTGGTGTGGGCCGTGTGCGGCATCTTCTCCATCGTGGGCGCGCTCTGCTACGCCGAGCTGGGCACCACCATCTCCAAGTCTGGCGGCGACTACGCCTACATGCTGGAGGTGTACGGCTCCCTGCCCGCCTTCCTGAAGCTCTGGATCGAGCTGCTCATCATCCGGCCGTCCTCGCAGTACATCGTGGCGCTCGTCTTCGCCACCTACTTGCTCAAGCCGCTCTTCCCCACCTGCCCCGTGCCGGAGGAGGCCGCCAAGCTCGTGGCCTGCCTCTGCGTGCGTGAGTACGGGACCCCGGCGGGCGGGCACGAGCCGGGCCCCTCCGTCCCGGGGCCCCTGGATCGCTTCCTACAACGCTGCATCTCTGCTCCCCAGTCCCGCCTCCTGGTATCCCTAACCTGGACCACCCCCCATCCCCGAAGTCGCTGGTCCGTGAACCCGCGTGCGTTTCATTCATTGGTTTACACTCTGGGGCGGCCCGGGAAGACCTCTGACAGCGAGGCCTGCGCGCTGACCCCCAGCGGGCATTCGGTCTCCCCACCTAATCCGTTAGGACTTGAGCAGTTCAAGCAGCGCCAGCCTTCCCGGGCCCCGCAGAGCAGTGCGCCCTGCCTCTTTCAGGGCACCACGTGGAGTGAGTGAACCACTGGTTTCCTTTTCAGCGTCAGTTGCTGACTGGTTGTCGAGAGGGAAATTGCAGTTAAAAGAAATCATTCATTTTTGTCCTCCAAACCAGCCTGTCAGGAATCAGTGCACAGGCTGACTCATAGAAAAGCGTAGTAATGAACTTGAGTTCTCATTAGGCTGAGCAGCAGCGTTGAGTTCCTCTGAAGGTTGCCTGACACTAAATCTGTGTGTTGGGGTTGGGTGGGCTTAGAGGGTCCCAAGTTTGCCAAGAAACAGCCACCGGGCATTTTATTTATTTATTTTAAGAGAGAGAATTTTTTAATATTTATTTTTTTAGTTTTCGGCGGACACAACATCTTTTTATTTGTATGTGGTGCTGAGGATCGAACCCAGGCACGCATGCCAGGCGAGAGCGATACTGCTTGAGCCACATCCCCACCCCGGGGCATTTTTATCATGTTGGTGGGCACTATACTAGTGGGCCAGAGAGGACTGCTGCTTTTCAAGACAGTATTCTTGTGGGATTTTCAGGATGAAAAAATCTTGTGTAGTAAATGCCGTATACACACACACAAACACATATATGCAACTTGTATATTTTGGCTTTGGGCCACTCATGCTCATCCCATGGCCAGCCTTGAGCAGCCTGCATTTGCAGTTGACGCACTGCCCTGAACACTCAAGCACTTGGGCTTTCCTCCTGCACCTCGATGGTGCATACATGGCTGGCAGGGTGATGCTGAGAGTTCTGGGTTGTATCCGTGAAGTTCTGGGGTCTGTGTGCGTCCTGGAAGTGGCCCTTGAAGGGCAGTGCTATGGGAGCTCGGGGCTGAGAGACAGTTGGAGACCATTTCCTCTCTAGTCACATACTCCACAAACTCAAGATGCAGAAGGCAAAAACCCAGTGGGCTGTGTGGGCTTCTAGGCTCTGAAGCCTTCCTGAGGTAAGAGAGGACCAGGCAGCGGTGCAGGGTTGTCTCCAGAATGTGGGGCTCAGCACCCAGAGCCTGGTGGGAAGGCCACAGTGGGGTGCACTGGATGGGAGCTGAGGGAGCTTGTGACTTCTGGGTGGGCCAGGAGACACTGGGGTGACTCACTGGACTGTGTGCTGTGCGCGCACAGAGCAAGCCTCTAGCATAGAATACTTTGTTTGCCTGTTTTGTCTGTAGGAGGATTTTAATTGCCCGGTTATGTCATTTCTAGGTAGTGTGTCTTGGTTAGGCCTGGTTGGTGATGTTGTTAAAGGGCCTCCTCTCTTGTCTGGGAAGATGGACCCTGGGAGCCAAGTCAAAGTTTTGACGGTGCTGGCAAGTTGTGGGAAAGGCTGCTTTGGCCTAGTGGGCAGTTAGGGTGGAGGTTTGCTAAAGTCTTCTTTCTAATAAAAGGTGAATATGTGAATAGGTGACCATGTAAAAATTTGACCATACCAATGTGCAGCGAGTCAAACTGCTTGCTGGTCCAAATTCCTTCTCCAGCCGCCCACCACACCATGGCTAACAGTGCATATTTCTGGAGCTTTCGCTGCCATAAACATAGTCACTTACTCTTTCAATCTCAGTTGGATCATTGTGCACAACTCAGTTTGGAGCGACAGTGCAGGGTTTCCAGGTCAGTAGGCAGGGGTCAGCACCTGCTTTTCAGCTGCAGAGCAACCATAGGACTGCACCAAGTGTGCTCAGCATTTGGGGTTTCCTGGCTCCGAGCAGATGGCATGGAGAGCCTCAGTGCCTTCCCAGGAAGCTGCCACGCCAGGTGTTCCTGGAGGTCTTTTGTGATACAGGGCTTTGAAATAGATCCTAAATAGCTTTCACAGGTCCCTGTGGCCCCAGTAGGTGAAGCCTTAGGGTGAGCTGGTGGAAATGCCTTTGTCCTGCACCCTCTGGGTTGCAGAGGGGGCTGATGTCAGTTAGCAATGCCTCCACTAGTAGGCCCAGTCTCATGTGCCATCAGCCGTCGACACTTGACTTGCATGCCGGGTATGTGTGAGTTGCTCTGGTGTTTGATGGAAGGAGGATTTTTAGTGACAAAGGGAGGGGTCTGCAGGACAGCCTTGTCTAGCACCTGCCTGACACCCCTGTGGAAGTGCGTCCTGGTGCTCCGTAAAGCAGGGTTGCAGGTTCCCCCTAGGAAGAGCAAGGGCACTCTGTGCCCCTCCTTCCTGGGGTCTCTCCACTGTGGTCACTTACCTTGGCATCTGGGTCTTTACCTGTGCTTGCACCTCACTCTGCCTTGGCAAGGCTTCTGCTGACAACACGGGAGGCGCAGATGCTGTGGAGAAGCTTTCATTTTTGCTCTTTGATCTCTAGCTCTCCATCCTGTCCCTCAAAAGTTTCTTTCCACTTGTTAAAAGGAACAGTGTGGCCCGCATGCGCTGAGGGGTCCTGCAGATGGTGAAGTGTAGAAGCTCCTCTTGTGGCCTGGCCTGGGCCCCAGGTCATAGAACATTGAATTTGTCAGTCCTGAAGGGAGAGAGACGTCCCCTTTGCTGCTGTCTTGGTGGCATGTGAAATTGGAACAAGGGTTGGTTCTGTGGGTTCCTTACTGTGCAGTGACGACAGGCAGCGCCACTTGGAACTCAGGTGATGCTGGATTTTATCTTATAGGCTACAGTCACAGAGACAAGCTGAGATTCTCACTGGGCGGGGATTAGATCCGGTAGTTATCAGGCCTCCCAGTGGGGAATCAGCTGTAGTTCCAGGCAGGCCCTGGGCCAGGGCAGCTGCCGCCTTCCCCCCAGGGAGCTCTTAAGGAGGCATCCAAAGGGGCTCACTGTTCCCTCTGCCACCACGGTCACCTACCAAGCCAGTGGGTGTGGGGGACCTGGTCTGGGACTGGCTCTCTAATGCTGAAGACAGTCTCCCACTCTTTCCTGGTTGGTGGGGATGGGACACTACCTGCTATGACAGCCACCCCCACTTATGCATGGCCAACCAACAGCCCCATGAATCTCTGGTCTCAGGCAGCTGAAAGGGGCAGGCTCACCTGGGATCCCAGAGCCAGGATCCCAGAGTCTACCTAACTGCCACCCCTCACCTCATGAGCATGGGACAGGCTGGTGGCCACTCTTAACCGGTGGGTGTCTAGGACTTGTGACCTGCAACATTCTCCACCAGGTGTCAGGTCAGGAGCAACATGGGTCAAGTTTTGAGAACTTTCCCTCAAGCCTCCTATCTGTGAGGGTTTCCTGGCCCATCCTGCCATCAGTGAGGATGTGGGCCATTAGGTTCTTAGTGTCTCCTGTTCTCTCCTGACCTGAAGTAGCCGCTGGGCTCACTCATGCCTTTTAGCAAAGAGAAAGGAGGAGAGGAGAGCACTGGTGCGTCTTCTCCTGCAGCTCTGGGCTCCGTGCTCAGTACAAGTGCTGGATGATCTGGCTAGAGAAACGCCAGACCTGGCTGCTCAGCCCCTCCTAGAAGGTCCGGGTACATAAGATGGGTACTTGGAGGCTGTGGAACTAGCCACGGCCAGCTGACTTGATGCCACCAAGGCACGCGGGTGAGGACCAGAAAGGATGGAAGGAGTCAGTCTTAGAGTTGCCTGCTGGCCTCCTCCACTCTGAGGGTGTCCACCCCTATAGACCTGGCTTCTCAATAAAGGCCTGTCCCTTGAGGCCTGCGGAACCCTCGCCAGCCATCGTAGCTGGGACCCCGCCTGAGCCAGGCAGAGGCTGTGGTGTTCCCGAGGTGCCAGTGGGCGCCAGCATCACAGCCAACAGCTCTGTAATTAGCACTGAAATCCGGCTTTCCCAGCAGACATGAAAGTGTGGCTGCCGCCTGAGCGGGTCACGCCTCATCACGGGACCTGGGGCCAAGGCCTGCTGGGGTGGCTCACAGAGCGCGTGACCCCACGGCAGGCGAGAGATGTGGCGAGCCTTCCTGACCCTTTCTTTCTGGTTCACAGACCCCTTGGGTAGTTCTGTAGAAGGTGCAGGCTCTCTGCCCCGCCAGCCTGTGAGCACGGGGCTCCTCGGCCCACAGTGTTGCCCGCACAGAGCTCTCCGCCCTCGCCACCCTGGTCTCTGCTCTCTGAAATCGCCCCCCTTAAACCTGGAGAAGCTGAGGCCAGGGTAGGCTGGGTGCCCAGAGCTGTGGCCCCTGCCTCCACACTGACCATCTGCTGTCCTCAGGCCTGTGAGATGCCCCCTTCCCCAGCCCCTTTCCATGAGGCCTGCCCCAGGCAGGGCGTTGCCCGGTGTGGGACCCACCCCCCTCTGGGCTGGGACTTGGGCTATGTGAAGAATTAGCTCCTGGGGCAGGATGTGAGCAACCCTATCCGCCCTGAGTCACCCTGACCTTGGGCTGGCTGACCTCTGTCACTGCTAAGACCATCTGGTGTGAGCTGCCCAAGTGTGGCCCTTGGGCTTTATCACCAGCCGCCCAAGGCCAGTGTGGATCCGCCCTTGCTCATGCATCCTTGCTCATACCCTCCTGGACGCACCACCAGGCCAGGCTGCAGAGCTGGAAGGCTCCTGGACTTGCTCACTGGGTTCCCTCTTAGGAGCCTGTCAGCCTGAGTTGGCTGGGGGGACCCACGGCCACCAAGAAAGCCTGAGCAGGGCGTATCCTGCACAGCTCTGTGCTTCTCTGACACAGCCAGGGTGACCCCTATCCAGTGGCCTGGGCATAGGATTTAGGAGACTTGAGTGTAATCATT